CTTTAGCCATGGCTGGAGCTGGCACTGGAGCATTTAGGATGCAGAGTCCTGAAGCTGCTCAGAGCAGTGGGGCCCTGGGTCTGGCCTGTGAAGCCATTTTTCCCTCCTAGGCCTCCAGGCCTCTGATGTGTGGGGCTGCACTGAAGGTCTGTGACATGCCCTGGAGATGTTTTTCCTGTTGTCTTGGTTATTAACTTTCAACTCCTTATTACTTATGTACACTTCTGCACCTGGCTTGAATTTCTCCCCAGAAAATGGGTTTTTCTTTTCTACTGCCTGATCAGGCTGCACGTTTTCCAAACGTTTATGCTCTATCTTTTTTTTTTTTTTTTTCTGAGTTGTGTTTTGCTCTTGTTGCCCAGGCTGGAGTGCAATGCGGTGATCTTGGCTCACTGCAATCTCTGCCTCCTGGGTTCAAGCAATTCTCCTGCCTCAGCCTCCTGAGTAGCTGGGATTACAGGAACCTACCACCACGCCTGGCTAATTTTTGTATTTAGAGTAGAGGTGGGGTTTCACCATGTTGGCCAAGCTGGTCTCAAACTCCTGACTTCAGGTGATCCGCCCACCTCGGTCTCCCAAAGTGCTGGGATTACAGGCGTGAGCCACAGTGCCTGGCCCTCTGTTTCCCTTTTAAACATATTCCAATTTCAAACCATCTCTTTGTGAATGCGTATAAGTGAATGCTTTCAGAATAAGCTAGGTCACATCTTGAATGCTTTGCTGGTTAGAAATTTCTTCCACCAGAGTCTGGGCATGCTGGGTCACACCTGTAATCCCAGCACTTTAGGAGGCCAAGGTGGGTGGATCACTTGAGGTCAGGTCTTCAAGACCAGCCTGTCCAACAGGGTGAGACCCCATCTCTACTAAAAACAGAAAAAATTAGTGGGGCGTGGTGGTGCACACCTATAATCCCAGCTACTTGGGAGGCGGGAGAATTGCTGGAACCTGAGAGGTTGCAGTGAGCCGAGATCATGCCGTTACACTCCAGCCTGGGAGACAGAGCGAGACTTCATCTCAAAAAAAAAAAAAGGGGGAAATTTCTTCCACCAGATACCCTAATTCATCTGTCTCAAGTTTAAAGTTTCACAGATCTCTAGGGCAGGGGCAAAATGCTTCCACTCCCTTTTTGCTAAAGCATAGCAAGAGTGACCTTTACTCCAGTTGCCAGTAAGTTCCTTATCTCTGTCTGAGATCACCTCAGCCTGGACGTCATTGTCCGTATCACTATCAGCAGTTTGATCAAAACCATCAAACAAGTCTCTAGGAAGTTCCAAACTTTCCCACATCTTACTGTTTTCTTCAGAGCCCTCCAGACTCTTCCAACCTCTACCGCTTACCCAGTTCCAAAGTCGATTCCACATTTTCAAGTGTCTTTATAGGAGTGTCCCACTCCTGGTACCAATTTTCTATATTAGTCAGTTTTTCACACTGCTGTAAAGAACTACTAGAGACTGAGTAATTTGTGAAGAAAAAGACATTTAATTGACTCAGAGTTCTGCTGGCTTAACAGGAAACATGACTATGAGACCTCAGGAAACTTACAATCATGGTGGAAGGCAAAGGGGGAAGCAAGCACCTTCTTCACATGGTGGCAGGAGAGAGAGAGAAAGAGCGTGAGGGGGGATGTGCCACACACTTTTATAACATGAGATCTCATGAGAGCAGCAAGGGGGAAATCTGTCCCCATGCTCCAGTCACCTCTCACCAGGTCCCTTCCTCCAATTCAACGGGAGATTTTGGCAGGGACGCAAATCCAACCCATATCACCCTCTAAACCTAGAAATAATCTTAGTGTCTCTCCCATGTTTGATCTCCATATTCTAGATTCCATGTCTTCTATTTTGGTTTATTCTCTTTCTTTGGAGGAGGATATACTTCAGTAGCTTCTTGAGAAAAGGTGCATTGAATGTAATTTAAAAAATAAAATAGTTAAACTTTTTTATTTGTAAGCATCTATTTGAATAATAGTGTAGTTGGCTGTAGAATTCTGCATATAGAGTAATATATCTTACAATTTTGAAGGCTTTTTACATTTTAGATTTCTGTGTTGCTGTTGAGAAGTTTAATGCCCACATGATTTTTGTTTATCTCTGGAATCTTTTATCCCTGATGTTATCATGAAATTTCGCTTTGACATGCCTTGTTGAAGATCTTTTAATTTGATAGACTAGACATTTGTTGAGCCTTTTAAACCTGATACCTGATGTCTTTCAGTTCTGGGAGCCTTTTTTGTATTATTTCTTGGTTATTCCCCTTTGATCCCTCACCCCCTTTCTTTTCTTTATTCTCATTTTCTGCAGTATGTCTCCCTTGATTGATTCACAAATTTTCTCATCTTTCCTATTTTCTATTTTGCCTTTTTATTCTACTTTGTAGAATTCCTGAACATTTTCTTTTTAAACTTCTGTTGAATTTCTACTTATTGCATTGTATTTTTGATTTCTCATTCCCTGAATATTTTCTACCCAACTTCCTTTTCTCATTCCATGGCATAATTTCTTTTCTGTTTGAGGTTGTCAGTTACTTTTCTAATTTTTATTGTTTTCTTTGGTTCCCTTTACTGTCTTTGTTATTCTGAGTTCCATTTTTTGGTTTGTTGTAATTTTTGTTTTTCAGGTTAGAGGCCTGCTTCAGTTGTATTTTAAATATTGTCTGTTCATTCGTGTATAATGGTGAGGCACTCAAATGTTGACTGGAAGCGTTGTGTATATGAGTTGAGTTTGTTGACTACTTGGTTTGACTGTATACCAAGGTTTCTCAGTCTCAACACTATTGGTATTTTGGATCTGATAATTCTTTGTTGTGGGGGCTGTCATCTGCATTTTAGGATGTTTAGCTGCATCCCTGACCTCTACCCACTAGCTGCCAATAGCTGTTTCCCTTCCGCGGTCATAAAAATAAAAAAATTGCCTCATGTTCCCAGAGGGAAATTTTAACCTTGGTTGGGGATGACCCATTGTTCTGAATTGGGCTGTTTCTTTATTTTTAATTTTTATTTCTTTTTAGACATAGGGTCTTGCTTTACAGATAGTGTCTTGCATGCAGCACCATGCTTGGCTAATTTTAAAATTTTGTTGTGGAAATGGGATCTCTCTAAATTGCCCAGGCTTGTTTTGAACTCCTGGCCTCAAATGATCTTTCCACCTTGGTTTTCCAAAGTCTTAGAATTACAGGCATGAGCCACCGTGTCTGGCTGAACTGAGCTGTTTCACTGGGGACTTTCTAATGCCAGTATCTGTAAGATTCTTTTCTGATGCCAGTATTGAGAGGAAGCTTTTAATTCCGTCTACCTGAGGTTTTTAAGCCTGCCTGCTGGATTTCTGGGAGCCTAGTTGGAACGTGGAGGCTGGAGGTTTTCACTTAATTTGTTGTTTTCACGATGGCTCCTCATCTTTGCTCCACCTGTGTTTCTTGTCTCCCATTCCAGAGACTCTCTGTTCACTTTGTGCAGAGAATAAACTTCCCATCTTCTGAGACAGTTTAAAGAGGGATAGTAACTAACTGGATGGGATGGGAAGAAAGGTCCTAAGGGAGAGCCTGTTTCTTTTATTGACTTTCAACTATTCCTCCTATTTTTAGCTCTACATAACCATTCCTATATTCCAAGGTACCTGGTACTTCCAATTTCCTCTATTCCTTTTTTTTTTTCTCTCTCTTAATGTGTGTGTTCTGTAGTAAGAATTTAGTTGCTTATTGTTGGAATCTCCATTTGTGGGCAGTTAGACTTCGGCTTTCTTTGATCTGCTAAGTGGGTTACTATTTCTCCATTTGCTTGCTGTATTTCCAAAACTTACTGACTTATCCAGTATGCTGTTGTTTTCTTTCTTGCTCTTCTTCCTTTAGGTGTTTAGTTTTATTATTTTACGGACATTGTGTCTTTTTTAAAAGCAGCAAAAAAGATGAACAGATATGTTCAATCCAGAAGTAATAAATGTCTAATTTCAAACTATTTTATTAAGGGGCCTTGCTCTGTTGTCCAGGCTGGAGTGCAGTGGTGTAATATAGTTCATAGTAACCTTGAGCTCCTGGGCTCAAACGATCCTCCCGCCTCAGCCTCCTGAGTAGCTAGGCCTACTATTATGATGTGCTACCATGACTAGCTCATTTTTTAATGTTTTTGTAAAAATGGGGTCTCACTATATAGAATAAACTGGTCTCAAACTGCTGGCCTCAAGCCACCTATTGCCTCATGTTTTATGTTTTTACATTTTCTTCCTTTTTGCAGGAAAAACTCAAATTAGAATTTTAGGAATAAAACCATATAAGTTTTTTTTTAAAAGGTTTTCAACTGGACCCTATCCTTTCCTTAATCAACAGATATGTATTTTTAAGATTTTATATTAGCGTACTCTTTTAGTATGAGTCAAATGATTGGAGGAGTAGAACTTAGGGGACTAAGTATGTATTAATGGCAATCAGTGAAATTGAGCCTGTATATGCTACTGTTAATAGCAAAAGGGTTTCTTAGCTTTTAAAAATTTTGTATTTTAATAATTATTCTCTTGATTTTGGGAAAGTTTTACTCTGGTACTTATTTTTTTAGAGGTGTAGAATTCTGGTATTTAAAGCAATTTAAATTTAAATGTCTAAAGCAGTAGGGTCCAATTCACTAGCCACATGTGACTATTTAGATTCAAATGAACTATAATTAAATACAATTAAAATTTTAGTTTCTTAGCTGTACTAGCCACATTTCAAGTACTTGGTGGCCATATGTGACTACTGACTACTTTTGATACAGTGCTGCTCTAAAGACTTCCAGATTAGCACAGTTTCTATTACATTGAGAATTCCACATGTATTGTGTTGTGCCTGAGAAACTTAGAGCTTACAAAAAGTTGAATTTGCTCAGCCGTAGGAATTGTCACATGTCCAGTCAGTTCCTATGTAAAGCTTCAAGCTGTGGAAAGAACTTTCCTTATATGGACTAAAATTGTGGTAATTGTATCTTTTGTTTCATTCCTCTGGCTTTACTTTTAATTATTCTTTTTCCCCCTCAGACAGTGCAATGCTTGCTAGACAGTGGTGCTGATATTAACAGGCCAAATGTATCAGGAGCAACTCCATTGTACTTTGCTTGCAGGTATGGTATTTTATATTTCCAGATGCTGTATATACTTGTGTATATGTATGTATATAAAGAAATTTATTTCCAGATGTATGTATACTCTGTTTCTAGACACACATATTTCTGTGTATTTTCTAAAGCTCTCGTTTTCCCACAAATATTGTGCTGTCTTTTAAGAGTAAGTATAATCTCTCTTTTAAGATGAAGTGTTATGGTTCTATTACTTAACTGCATGAGGAAAAGTATTTTCTGTTATATTTAATTGCCATTGCTTTTATGTTATATGTGGGAGCTTTTGATTTGCTTGATTACTTCAATTTTAGACTAAGTACTTATTAACAAAAGACAAATTGGTAACCTGGTAATTCCCATAGTTTACTGTATTCTGTAACCAGGTCATTTCCAGTGGGATAAGCTGTTGGAATATATCTTGATCCAAAGCCATGTCTTTATTTCTCTGTATCTATAACCAAAAAAATATCTTGAGTCAGTCTTGTTAGATGTTGTAATACATCAAGTTATTTTCGTATTTCTGTATTGGTTCATTTTCTTGACGTGTGCATTTCGTTCACTTATTCATTCATGTATTCATCAAATGTTTAGTTAGCACTCACTGTGTCATGCATTGTTGTAGGTGTGTAAAACAGTAATAAACTCTAGTCCCTAAGGAGCTAATAGTATAATTATACACATGCTGTCACACCCACACACATATATAAAAATACATACACACCTATCTATTATGTATTATGTAAGTGTAGTTTGCAGTTAGCATCAGTTCACAGAACACTATAGTGATTCTTCTTTTTGATTTAAATTATATGAATTGTAATATTTATTTCGGCCTTTTTATCCCTCTATAGAGCTCTCCAGAAAGCTCCTCTCTTCTTCTTTTTTTCTGTTTTATATCATTTTATTGGAAGTTGGTTTTAGGTTGAAAGACCTGCATTTTTTCTTGTTTAGCTTCTTTTTTGGGGTCTCTCATGTTCCTTTGATGAGACCGATTCAGATCATCTGTTTAACAACCCTGTATTAGAATTCAGGGGCTTTTGGGTTTCTAGACTTCCAGATCTTTCTGATTCCAGCCACTTTCTTAACCTTATATTTATGATTTGGGTGCTTGGCTCGAAAACAAGTTCCTTCCATAGTGTCCTGAATTTATGAATAATACCATCATTTGATTCCCTGTAATCATATCCTATCTTGAAGGGTTATCTTTAGATCAGACCTTTTTTTGAAGCTCCAGATTTGAATGTCCATCTCCCTGATTAACATCATCACTTAGAAGTACTGCAGAATCTCAGATATTAACATGTCAAAATATAGCTTCAGATTTTCCTCCTCAAACCTTTCCTCCAGTTTTTCCTCATCTTAATCAATAGAAACCTTATCCTCTCAGTTGTTTAAATTAGAAGTAATTAGGTTATTTTTTATTTATCTCTCTCTCTTTGTGAACTTGGAATTTATTAGTAAGTTCTGTAAATTCTACCTTCAGAATATGTTTGGAATCTCAACTTCTAACTCAACCAAAACCACCTTAATGTTGTTACCTTTTGCTTAGAGTACTTCAGTAATCTCTACACTGGTGTCCCTGATTCCTATGTTGTTTCCCTCCAGTCTCTTCTTTCCTCAGCAAAGTGATCTTAAAAAAAATGCTGGCTTCATAAAATGAGTTAGGGAGGATTCCCTCTTTTTCTATTGATTGGAATAGTTTCAGAAGGAATGGTACCAGCTCCTCTTTGTACCTCTGGTAGAATTTGGCTGTGAATCCTTCTATTCTGACTTTTTTGGTTGGTAGGCTATTAATTATTGCCTCAATTTCAGAGCCTGTTATTGGTCTATTCAGAGATTCAACTTCTTCCTGGTTTAGTCTTGGGAAAGTATATGTGTCCAGGAATTTATTCAATTCTTCTAGATTTTCTAGTTTATTTGCGTAGAGGTGTTTATAGTATTCTCTGATGGTAGTTTGTATTTCTGTAGGATAGGTGGTGATATCCCCTTTATCATTTTTTGCTGTGTCTATTTGATTCTTCTCTCTCTTCTTTATTAATCTTGCTAGCAGTTTAGCTGTTTTGTTGCTCTGTTCAAAACAGCTCCTGGATTCATTGTTTTTCTGTCTCTATGTCCTTCAGTTCTGCTCTGATCTTAGTTATTTCTTGCCCTCTGCTAACTTTTGAATTTGTTTGCTGTTGCTTCTCTAGTTCTTTTAATTGTAATGTTAGGGTGTTGATTTTTGATCTTTCTGCTTTCTCTTGTGGGCATTTAGTGCTATAAATTTCCCTCTACATGTTGCTTTAAATGTGTCCCAGAGATTCTGGTACATTGTGTCTTTGTTCTCATTGGTTTCAAAGAACATCTTTATTTCTGCCTTAATTTCGTTATTTACCCAGTAGTCATTCAGGAACAGGCTGTTCAGTTTCCATGTAGTTGTACGGTTTTGAGTGAGTTTCTTAATCCTGAGTTCTAATTTGATTGCACTGTGCTCTGAGAGACAGTGTGTGATTTCTGTTCTTTTACATTTGCTGAGGAGTGCTTTACTTCCAATTATGTGATCAATTTTAGAATAAGTGCAATGTGGTGCTGAGAATAATGTATATTCTGTTGATTTGGAATGGAAAGTTCTGTAGATGTCTTATTAGGTGTGCTTGGTGCAGAGCTGAGTTAAAGTCCTGGATATCCTTGTTAGCCTTTTGTTGTGTTGATCTGTCTATTTTTGACAGTGAGGTTAAGTCTCCCATTATTATTGTGTGGGAGTCTAAGTCTCTTTGTATGTCTCTAAGGACTTGGTTTATGAATCTGGGTGCTCCTGTATTGGGTGCTTATATATTTAGGATAGTTAGCTCTTCTTGTTGAATTGATCCCTTTACCATTACGTAGTGGCCTTGTCTCTTTTGATAAACAGACTTTATCTGTTTTATCCAGTATTGCAACCCCTGCTTTTTTTTTTTTTTTCTCTCCATTTGCTTGGTAGATCTTCCATCCCTCTTTTTTGAGCCTATGTGTGTCTCTGAATGTGAGATGGGTCTCCTGAATACAGCACACTGATGTGTCTTGACCCTTTATCCAGTTTGCCAGTATGTCTTTTAATTGGGGCATTTAGCCCATTTACATTTAAGGTTAATATTGTTATGTGTGAATTTGATCCTGTCATTATGTTAGCTGATTATTTTGCTTATTAATTGATGCAGTTTTTTCATAGCATTGATGGTCTTTACAGTTTGGCATGTTTTTGCCATGGCTGGTACTGTTTGTTCCTTTCCATGTTTAGTGCTTCCTTCAGGAGGAGCTCTTGTAAGGCACGTCTGGTGGTGACAAAATCTCTCAGCATTTGCATGTCTGTAAAGGATTTTATTTCTCCACTTATGAAGCTTAATTTGGCTTGATAGGAAATTCTGAGTTGAAAATTATTTTCTTTAAGAATGTCGAATATTAGCTCCCACTCTCTTCTGACTTGTAGGGTTTCTGCTGAGAGATCCTCTGTTAGTCTGATGGACTTGCCTTTGTGGGTAACCCGACCTTTCTTTCTGGCTGCCCTTAATATTTTTTCCTTCATTTCCGCCTTGGTGAATCTGACAATTATGTGTCTTGGAGTTGCTCTTCTCGAGGAGTATCTTTGTGGTGTTCTCTGTATTTCCTGAATTTGAATGTTGGCCTGTCTTGCTAGATTGGGGAAGTTCTCCTGGATAATATCCTGAAGAGTGTTTTCCAGTTTGGCTTCATTCTTCCTGCCACTTTCAGGTACAACAATCAGACATAGATTTGGTCTTTTCACGTAGTCCCATATTTCTTGGAGGTTTTGTTCATTTATTTTTACTATTTTTTTCTCTAATCTTGTCTTCTCGCTTTATTTCATTAATTTGGTCTTCATTCACTGATATCCTTTCTTACACTTGATCAAATTGGCTATTGAAGCTTGTGCATGCGTTACAGAGTTCTCCAGCCATGGTTTTCAGCTCCATCAGGTCATTGAAGGTCTTCTCTACACTGTTTATTCTAGTTAGCCATTAATGTAACCTTTTTTCAAGGTTTTTAGTTTCGTTGTGATGGATTAGAACATCTTACTTTAGCTTGGAGAAGTAGTTATTACCAACCTTTTGAAGCCTACTTCTGTCAACTTGTCAAAGTCATTCTCCATCCATCTTTGTTCCGTTGCTGGCGAGGAGCTGTGATCCATTGGAGGAGAGAGGCACTCTGGTTTTTAGAATTTTCAGCTTTTCTGCTCTGGTTTCTCCCCATCTTTGTGGTTTTGTATACCTTTGGTCTTTGATGTTGGTGACCTACAGATGAAGTTTTGGTGTGGATGTCCTTTTTGTTGTTGTTGATACTATTCCTTTCTGTTTGTTAGTTTTCCTTCTGACAGTCAGACCCCTCAGCTGCAGGTCTGTCGGAGTTTGCTGGAGGTCCATTCTAGACCCTGTTTGCCTGGGTATCACCAGCGGAGGTTGCAGAACAGCAAATATTGCTGCCTGTTCCTTCCTCTGGAAGCTTCGTCGCAGAGGGGCACCCTCCTGTGTGAGGTGTCTGTCGGCCCCTACTGGGAGGTGTCTCCCAGTTAGGCTACACAGGGGTCAGGGACCCACTTGAGGAGGCAATCTGTCCATTCTCAGAGCTCAGACGCCATGCTGGGAGAACCACTGCTCTCTTCCGAGCTGTCAGACAGCGACATTTAAGTCTGCAGAAGTTGTCTGCTGCCTTTTGTTCAGCTATGCCCTGCCCACAGAGGTGGAGTCTATAGAGGCAGTAGGCCTTGCTGAGCTGCAGTGGGCTCTGCCTAGTTCGAGCTTTCTGGTAGCTTTGTTTACCTACTCAAGCCTCAGTAATGGCGGATGCCCCTACCCCTGCCAGACTGCATGCAGCCTGGCAGGTCAATCTCAGACTGCTGCATTAGCAGTGAGCAAGGCTCTGTGGGCATGGGACCCGCTGAGCCAGGCACGGGACGGAGTCTCCTGGTGTGTTGTTTGCTAAGACCTTGGGAAAAGTGCAGTATTTTGGCAGGAGTGTCCCGTTTTTCCAGGTAGTCTGTCACGGCTTCCCTTGGCTAGGAAAGGGAAATCCCCCGACCCCTTGGGCTTCCCAGGTGATGCGACGCCCTGCCCTGCTTCGGCTCACCCTCCGTGGGCTGCACCTGCTGTCCAACCAGTCCCAATGAGATCAACCAGGTACCTCATTTGGAAATGCAGATTGAGTGATCACCTATCTTCTGCGTTGATCACTCTGGGAGCTGCAGACCAGAGCTGTTCATATTCGGCCATCTTGGAACGGGAGTCTTGAGACTAAATTGTTTACTTTTACAGGTCACAAAACATAAAGGACAGTCTCTGTTTATCTTGCTAGAGCAGCATGATATCGATGAAGGATTTTGGAGTCAGACTGATACAGATTCAAATTCTGGTCTGCCATGTAACTGTTCATCTTGAGCAACTCCATTATATTCTTGAGCCATGGTTTTCTCATCTGAAAAATTGGGTGAATACTGTTAAAATAAAAATCTTAGAAAAAATAAGTTTTAAGTTTATTTAAATGAAAAACGATTCATGAATCAGGCAGCACTCAGAATCAGAAGCGGGTGAGAGAGCTCTTCCCAGCAGTAAGTAATGAGCTTTTATAGGTTGAATATGGAAGCAAAGTAGAGAAATCACGTGACTGGCTACCCTTATGTATGTATTTGCCTAATTTGGTCATGGTGTGAAGAATTGGCTGTCTAATTTCTTGAAACCACTCTTTGTTGCAAAATACATACTCCCAAGTTAAGCTGAAGTTTGTTACAGAGGAACTCAGAAGTATAGTGACAGTCTCAGGCTAATGGCCTCCTGTTTGCTTCATTTAATGAGGCTTATAACAGTGTCAGCACTAAGTCAGACTTTGGACAGAGGACTGAGCGTAATGCTTATTACCTAGTGTATCCTAAATAAATTGTGTTTCAGGTCTCTTGTTATTTTCTATAGTGCGGTGTTGTCTTTAATATTTATTTGTCAAATGAACGGTGTCTGAAGTTAAAGCCTATAATACAATTCATTGAATGTATTGTGTACATGTTATAAGACAACTGCCATGCCTGGTGCAATGTAACAGGTCTACTGTCAAGAAGTTTACAATTTAATTGGAAAAAATTGGACACATGGATGTTAAAGAACTGTAAAAGAGATATCATTAAAATTGAACTCAACAGTTTTATAAGATGGATTCCTCAGAACCTTGGCTACTAGCAAAAGTATCACTATATCCCTAAATAAATTAAGCTCAAGTTAGTTGCTTTTCACTTGGCCTCTATTTTTGGGCATGTGAAAGAAAGGAACAGTGTAAATTAAACATTAATCACCATTAGCTATTGTTTATAACATCTTGACCAACACTTTGAGCTGAATGACAAGTGATGCTTGATGAAGACTTTTTGCTTGATGCTGGTAAAACTGATTATTGTTCCTTTCAAAGGGATTGCTGATTTACTTTTTTGATTTTTCTAGAATAAGTTAGATATTATTCTTAAGTTCTGGCTTATTGGTATTAAGGAAGATAATCAGTGTAATAATAAAGTATCAAGAGAGTGATAGACCTATAATAACTGTTGCAGGGTTTTCTGGCACTAGATTCATAGTAGGATACTATTAAGTTTTTTTAAAAAACACTTTAATTCCAATTGGCTATAAATTATTCTTCATGCAGTGCCATTTTGTGAAAGAGAATTTTAAGTTTCTGAGAAATCTGTGTAGTGTTTTTCTTTGTGAAATCACATGCCTCTTTAGGTAATGTTATTGTGGAAAGAGTATTGGTCTAGAAGCCCAGGTGCCTGAGTTCTAGTTTCGCCTGTGCTTTGATTACTTGCTTTTCTCATATACAGACTACTTTTTGGATTCATGCTCTTCCAAACTGTACAACTTAGTTGGACCTTTCTTTCTCTTTTCCTTTTCCTTTTCCCTTCCCTTCCCTCCCCTCCCCTCCACTCCCCACCTCTCCACTCCCCACCCCTCCCCTTCTCCTCTCCTCCCCTCCCTCCCTCCCCCCCTTCCCTTTTCTTTTTTTTTCTTTCTTTTCTCTTTCTTTCTTTTTTTGACAGGGTTTCGCTCTTGTTACCCAGGCTGGAGTACAATGGGGCATTCTTGGCTCACTGCAACCTCCACCTCCTGGGTTCAAGTGATTCTCCTGCCTTAGCCTCCCAAGTAGCTGGGATTACAGGCGCCTGCCACCATGCCCAGCTAATTTTGAATTTTTAATAGAGACAGGGTTTCACCATGTTGGCAGGCTGGTCTGGAACTCCTGACCTCAGGTAATCCACCTACCCTGGCCTCCCAAAGTGCTGGGATTACAGGTGTGAGTCACCATGCCTGGTCCTGGGCATTTCTTAAGAATCAGCCGTTAACATTCATTTCCCTGGAGTGATAGTTACCAATTCTATTTCTGCGAGAGAGAGCAATCAGGGAATGAGGCATGTGGATAGGAGAATTCATTCTAGGACAGATTGAATACCTATCTGCAGAAGCCAAACTGAGTGGGCTGGTAAAATGAAGGTCCAAAGCTAGATAGCATTTTTGGCTAATAACCCCACTTCATGTTCCCTTTTTCCTCAGATTCTCTTCCATTGGTTTTACTTTTCTCCTTCCTTTGTTTTAAATTTTTTTTTTTTTTACAATGTATTACAAGTGTGCCATAAAATGTACTCTTGTTTTGACTCTTGAGGATTAAGAAGCTTAGAGACTTGTATGTGTGTGGTAGGAAGAAGGTGAGGCTAAAGTTGCGAATGGTCAAGTTAAGGTGGAGAGAGGGATTAGGAAGTGAATGTAAGAAAAAAATAAAGCAGAAGGCTGAGTAGTAGTTACTTATCCCCAAAATATTATGCCTATTTTAGGAAATGTGACACAAATTCAATTCTAAAATTTAATAGGTCACTTTCTGGTCTACATAGTGAAAGCATGGCTTAACTTTGAGAGAAGTTTTTCTGATTGTGAGCATGTGTTTCACATCCTCTTAATTTTTAAAGTTGTTAGTCTTCATTGACTCATATTAACTATCCATAATTCGTAGAGAAAGACTTTTAAAAAGATTGTCTTTTTAACTTGTTTTTCTTTCTACACAGTCATGGTCAGAGAGATACAGCACAGATTCTACTACTACGAGGGGCCAAATATCTGCCAGATAAAAATGGAGTAACTCCTCTGGATTTATGTGTACAGGTATGTTTTTAATTTATATTCTGAGCCCCTTATCTTTATAATAGAAACTGGAGTGGTAACAATTATTATTTTTTTCAATGAAAGGGTAGGTGCAAAGATTTTTATTGTGTGAAGAATATAAACTTTAAAAGGGACTGTTTTTAAACCTGGATAATTTTAAGTCTTGTTTTTAGGGTGGATATGGAGAGACTTGTGAAGTGTTAATTCAGTATCACCCGAGGCTTTTTCAGACTATTATTCAAATGACACAGAATGAAGACCTCCGAGAAAACATGGTAATGTATTTGTGCTAGTAGCTTGTAAATGAAGACACTTTATTTCTGCTTAGCATATATGACATTTTACAAATGTGCTTAGCTTAGTAATTTTGCTTATTGTCACAAATATCTTAATAATTAGCTTATCTGCATTATAGGATAAGTATGAGTTAGATAATAATTAATACAGTTTTTGCTAGTATTTGGCCATATAAATCTTCTGCCCTATGGGTCTTTGGTCTCTCCTTAAGATAACTAGAATAGTCTGGGTGTGGTATCACGCCTGTAATTCCAGCATTTTGGGAGGCTGAGCTGGGAGGAGGGATTGAGCCTAGGAGGTTGAGCCTGCAGTGAGCCGAGATCATGTCCCTTCCCACTACACTCTAGCCTGGGCGATACAGTGATGCTCTGTCTTTAAATTAAAAAAAAAAAAAAAAATGTTCCCATGGCAAGAGGAAAAGACTGTGGAGGAATATCATTACGATTGGTAATCACTAGTTTACTCAGCTATGTGTTTGTGATAGTTTAAGTCTCAGAAAAATTGCTCTAAATTTCTCTTTTATTTTAGAAGTTTAGAATTAAATTTCCAAAACTATACTTGGTGTTTTAAAAATTCTATCTATATTTACTATTGTTTTGTAACTGGGTGATTTTCAACAAAGATTTTACTGTGTATCATCATATCTCTATATTAGCTTTTAAACTTATGCAAGGCAGAATAACTAAAGGACTTGATTTAGACTAATTGGCTTTAAGATAATTAATAAGTACTTAATTGTTTAATAAGATTTAATGGATTACCATGTAATCACTTTTTTTTTATTTATAAAAAATTTAGTTACGGCAAGTTCTGGAGCACTTGTCTCAGCAAAGTGAAAGTCAGTACCTAAAGATTCTAACAAGCCTTGCTGAAGTTGCTACAACAAATGGTCATAAACTGCTTAGGTAAGTGTTTCGCAATAAAAGGAAATCAATAGGTAGCAGTGTCTGTTGGCTTCACCTCCTAAGTAGTTTATTCTGTGGGACGCCTTTTGTCAGTGATAACGATGTTATAAAAATTTGCTGACTTCTGGTTTGTTTTGTTTGAAAGGACCAGGGTAATCAACTATTGCTAAAGAGATTTTAGTCTCTCTGAAGAGAGTGAATTTGGGCATATGTGTCTAGAATTTTGTGAAATGATTACTTACCTAGACATGTAAGTAAATGTACATGAAGAAGAATCGAGAAAGTTCAGGAATCTTGACCATTAATTAATAAAATAAAAGTATGTACAAGCTACTGTTTAACCTTTCAGTGTACTCTCATGACCCCCTTATAAAGTTTTTTTCTCTGAACTGTCCCCCTCAGTTAAGTTCTTTATTGTTTCTAAAAGATCCTGTGGTTTTAATGGCTCATCACTAAGTTCATGGAGTTAATGCCTTATATTACTTGAATTTATATATGAAGTGTTTTTCTGTAGCTATACTTCTTTCTGTGTGGCTGGCTACCCCAATTAGGAATAAGCAGCCACTGAGAAATGATTATTCCCTTATTATTTGCGCCGGAGATATTTTTTTTTTTTTCTTTTTTTTGGAGACGGAGTCTCGCTTTGTCTCCCGGGCTGGAGTGCAGTGGCCGGATCTCAGCTCACTGCAAGCTCCGCCTTCCGGGTTTACGCCATTCTCCTGCCTCAGCCTCCCGAGTAGCTGGGACTACAGGCGCCCACCACCTCGCCTGGCTAGTTTTTTGTATTTTTTTAGTAGAGACGGAGTTTCACCGGGTTAGCCAGGATGGTCTCGATCTCCTGACTTCGTGATCCGCCCGTCTCGGCCTCCCAAAGTGCTGGGATTACAGGCTTGAGCCACCGCGCCCGGCCTATTCCCTTATTATTTCTTAGCCTGCAGATTTGACTCCTTTCTAATTTGGATGCTTTCCCCTTCTTATTATTCGTTTTACTAATTACTTCCACTCTTAGTAGATTGACAGGTCATGATCTTCTCCCATCTCTGTAGTTGCAACTGAAATTTTTTCCACCCAACACCATGCTACTTCTTTAAATCAGCTGTATTATTAAATTTATTATTCTAGCCATTTGTTTCAGTCTTCTTTGGGACTTTTCATGTATTTCAGATCAGAATCACGTTCTGTACTGTTTACTTAAAAGGCCCTTTGCTAGGTTCCTTATGCTTCGTGATTCCAAGATCACCTTCTTATATTCTTTTAACCATTTAGTCTTTTTTCAGCAATTCTACTCAATATACCATTTGTTCATTTTAAAAATTATTCTATTTCTACCACTGAGACTACTCATAGACTCTGTCTATAACAGTCATTGAATTCTAGCTTTCCGTAATGCTCTTACTTAGTTATTCCCAGTAATCCGTGTGTTTCATGGAACCCTTGTAAGATTCAGATATACTAACTAAAAGCATGGGCTTGGAGTCAGCCAGACTCAGACTTACATCCAGACATCATCATTTACTGTGTTACCTTAGCAACTAACTTTTCCCTTCAACATCCACCCATCCATCGAATATATATATACATATATATGTGTGTGTATATATGTATATATACACACATACACATACATATATAATAATTATTTTTTTATACAGAGTCTCACTCTGTTGCCCAGGCTGAAGTGCAGTGGCACAATCTTGGCTCACTGCAACCTCCGCCTCCCAGATTCAAGCAATTCTCCTGCCCCAGCCTCCCAAGTAGCTGGGATTACAGGCATGCACCACCACGCCTGGCTAATTTTTTGTATTTTTAATAGAGATGGGGTTTTACCATGTTGCCCAGGCTAGTCTTGAACTCCTGAGCTCAGGCAATCCGCTCACCTCAGCCTCCCAAAGTGCTGGGATTACTGGCGTGAGCCAATGCGCCCAGCCAAATACGTATTTTTGAGGGCCTGCCATCCATTAGGCCATCTGTGAGGTGATCATGAATAAAACAGACAAGATATCTATGTTGAAATTACAGTCTAGTCAGGATTTTACTGGATTTTATTCCATTTTGTGGGAAACTGGTAATAAATATCTTAATGAGTTGTGAGAGTGAAATAAGATAATTCTGTAAAATGCAAAGCAGGGGGTCCAGTATATAGTAGAGGTGATGATAGTTATTATTTTAAGTACCCCTATAATACCATTTAACCTGTTTTCCTACATTAGAAAACTTGTTTTTTCTACTTAAATATTTGTCAGATTGTATATACTTCCACAGTAATTAGAAAGCATTTATGTTTTTATGTGTCTATGTTTTTAAGTTTACCTTCATCACTTATTAAGCAGGTACTAAGCTAAGGAACATTCAAATATATTATTTCACTTAAACCTTACAGTAACTTTGTAATTTAGATGTTATCTCCACTTTATGTGTAAAAAAGTTGAAGTTAAATGATTTGCCAAGCTAATAAATAAACCTGGATATAGATCCTCAGTAGTAAGTAGCAGATTCTAGGTTCTAATCTAGCTTCTAAAAATGACAGGGGTGGTTAGTGGGACAGGAGAAACAGGGTAGGAAAAAGGAATCCATGGCCAAAACAATAGTAGTTTTAAAAAAATTACTCTGCTACACTGTGCTGTCTCACCACTTACAGTGCTGCCTTCCAAATGCTTTATAGAATCTTATTTTTATGGCCATTTTTGGCCTGTAAATATCTCATTGTTGGGATTGGTAGTGAGTATTGGTTATTAGTTAGAATTTATTGTACTGTTAAGTGGTAATTCTTAAGATGATTTCAAATACAAATTGCTTCCCCCTGCTGATTTATGTTTAATGGTATTTTTGTAGAGTATCTCATTTGTGTTCATTTATTTGTGAATCATTTTATGTTTCTTAACCCATTATGTGAAGTAATGTTGACCCTTGTTTTAATAGAAATTTTCTTTAAGAAAATAACTGATTCAAATATATGTTAATTATTGACAACTCAGGTGTTATCCAGCACACTTTTGGAAAAATTGGTAGCCTGTTATCTAACTGATTTCAGGAATATTTGCTAAAGATAATAAACATTTACTGAGGCGTTTGCACATAATGTTATGTTTATATTGAAATGAAATTTTATCTTTCTGTGTATTTATGATTGAAAGTAAAGGTAGTTAACGATGTGGAAATGAACAGAGAAATCATAACTATATGCTAAGTAAGACACTGAATAAGAATATACGCATATAAACCAAAGGCAAGAATTTTACAATGATAGGGGTTTGAGTTAGGAAATTAATTTCTTTTTTTTTTTTTTTTTTGAGATGAAGTCTCGCTCTGTCGTCCAGGCTGGAGTGCAGTGGCATGATCTCGGCTCGCTGCGAGCCCCGCCTCCCGGGTTCATGTCATCCTCCTGCCTCAGCCTCCCAAGTAGCTGGGACTACATGCGCCTGCCACCGCACCTGGCTAATTTTTTGTATTTTTAGTAGAGACGGAGTTTCACCGTGTTAGTCAGGATGGTCTCGATCTCATGATCTTGTGATCCGTCCGCCTTGGCCTCCCAAAGTGCTGGGATTACAGGCATGAGCCACTGCCTCTGGCCAGAAATTAATTTTTAAACTTTAAAATTGAGGCATGGCAGCTTTGAAACAAATGACCATTTTATGATCAACTGGAGAAGGGTATATGAAGTTTAGGGATACTTCACTGGTGGGAAAGTGAGAAAATGATATTTTTTACACCATTGATTCATCTTAGAAGAAGTTTCAATTGAGTAAAGTAATACAAAATTGTTAGACTGTATTTATAATTAATAATAACAAGATTCCATGGTTTAAGAAAATATATTTTACCTTAAAGTAAGATAACTCATGATGTATTCCCTAAGATATTTAAAACAAATATTTGTGTATGTGGTACTTTTGCAGAAGAAAATTAAATTTGGCTGGGTGCGGTGGCTCACGCCTGTAGTCCCAGCTCTTTGGGAGGCCGAGGCGGGCGGATCACGAGGTCAGGAGATCGAGACCATCTTGGGTAACACGGTGAAACCCCGTCTCTACTAAAAATACAAAAAATTAGCCGGGTGTGGTGGTGGGCGCCTGTAGTGCCAGCTACTCGGGAGGCTGAGACAGGAGAATGGTGTGAACCCAGGAGGCGGAGCTTGCAGTGAGCCGAGACTGAGCCACTGCACTCCAGCCTGGGTGGCAGAGTGAGACTCCCTCTCAAAAAAAAAAAAAAAAAAAGAAAATCAAATTCACACCTCTCTTACAGAATTTGAGAGTCATTGTAGTTAACTTTTCCTAGAGCTGGAACACAGTAAAAGAAGGAGATGGTTACAACCAAACTACATTTCTATTTTGTTAGTGTCAACAGTCTTACGATATGCAGTTAGAATCACTATTTCATAAAGACAAATATGTAAAAATCAGTGCAAGCTAAGTTAATCCCTTTATACACATTTGATTCAAAATTATTGAAGCAAAAAAGGCTGTGCTAATGTGCTATAGCTATAGTGACAGCAATAGCTATTGATGTTTTACGAACACTGGTAACTGAAAGTTAATTTTTATTGACTTTTAAAACAATGTAATGAGTCTTACAATGAGAAAAAAACATGGCTAATGAAGTGAAAATGTCCAGAAATTTTGGTTCATGTAACCATGGCTGAAAATGCCCTCTAATTGGGTACTTATCAAACAAATACTTGAAAGCGGACATTTGTCATGACCATCTTACTATTTAAAAAAAAATATTGAAGAATACCTACAGATATCATAAATGAAGGTTTCAATGAACTGGGTAAAAAATATATATAAGGGAAGAGAGAGTAAGTTTTTGATAGTTAAATTATACAAATGTGGCTTACTGCCATGGTTACTACTTGAGACCATCACTATGACAGTTACTGCTGTTACTACTTGAGACCGTCATTATGAGACTGAACAAAGTAGGATGAACACAGAAATCAAAACTTGAGACGAAACTGTATATATATATAATATATATATTTTAATTTTTTTATTTTTTGAGAGGTGTCTCATTCTGTTGCCCAGGCTGGAGTGTAGTAGTGCGATCTTGGCTCACTGCAAGCTCTGCCTCCTGGGTTCTCGCTATTCTCCTGCCTCAGCCTTCCGAGTAGCTGGGGCTACAGGTACCCACCACCAAGCCCAGCTAATTTTCTGTATATTTAGTAGAGATGGGGTTTCACCATGCTAGCCAGGATGGTCTCAATATCCTGACCTCATGATCCGCCTGCCTTGGCCTCCCAAAGTGCTGGGATTACAGGTGTGAGCCACCGCGCCCAGCCAAAAGAAGCTATTTTAAAGGAAGGGGCCAGGGAAAGAAGAAGAGAGCTCCCTGCTTCTAGTGAGCAAAGGCAGCAACAACCTTAAGCTTCTACAGCCCTTGGTATTTACTGGGTAGAAAGAGCAGGGAGGAGGAGCTAATAATTGGTCAGCTGCTTGATTCACAGGTTCATATTATTGCTTAACAGGCTTCAGATGTACCTAATCACAAGAAGGTCGTGACTGCCCTCAGCATTCCTTCTGGGTGGCAGACGCAGTTTGTCGGTTTGCCAACATCCTGCATTTATGAGAAGAGTTTGCTGCTTACTCATATCGCCTCCAGTGGTATACTGAGTTGATCACAATCCTCACTCTTTTGGCCTCCAACATACAAAGATAAATCCTGCCGTTCTGCGCAGAAGTTCATGCAACTCTTTACTTTGCTCCAACATTTGTGATACAAGATAACTGATGTTAGAGATTTCAAAATAAAACCACCATCAACCAACAAAAATATTTTGTTTAAAGATATATTATTAGCTTCAGTATAAATTTAGCCTACCTCCTACAGTTTTTCTGTGGAAAGGTAATGATTGGTATTCATAACGTTGAGCAATCACAATACTGTGGGATTCTGAAGGGCTTTCTGATTAGTAAAAGTGAGTTTATGTTAATTTAATATGATTTAGTGTTAATTGAATTTTAGTCTTTTTTCATAGTAGGCGAATATTTCCTATATTTATGTAGACTCATAAGGCAGCCTATTATATAGAGAACAAACCTAATGCAAATAGCAACTTTAAAATTATTCAATTTATGAATGTTCTATATGTGAACAATTGGTTACTATTCTGGGGTAGGAAGGGGATATGGGATTACGGATATAGTGGCGGAGAGTTCAGTTTAGCTTCTTCGTTAAAACAGTTGTGGGTTGGCCTAAGAATATGATGATTTATACCTTTGCTTCTCTGTGAAAATACAGTCAGACTTCTAAAGTATAAATTTAATTTACAAATATACTTTTGAAAGTAAAAAGTTTAGGGGTTGCCTTGAAGTTGTTGCCACAAGAAACCAACTATTCTAAAGGAGTGATTTTCTTCATATTTTATGCTTTGATTATTGCTTATATTCTGGGTGCTTAAGAAATAGTAATTTATTTATATGCAATTTAAATAATGTAACTTCCTGTTAAACCATTCTGCCTCCTATCATGATAGGAAAGGAATTTTACTCCAGTTATTATAATATGAAACAGATGGTCAGTGGGATGAAAGTGTTTTAAAATAAGTATTTTAAGATGTAATTTGTCTTACTCCATCTAATCTCATATTTTAATTTTTATTTTCAGCCTATCTAGCAATTATGATGCTCAAATGAAGAGCCTTTTAAGGATTGTGAGAATGTTCTGTCACGTCTTTCGAATTGGTCCATCCTCCCCCAGTAATGGAATTGATATGGGCTACAATGGGAATAAAACTCCAAGAAGCCAGGTGTTCAAGGTGAGAAAAGTATATGGCACTGTTAGGAAGATAGACATGGAAGAGATGAATTTGACAAAGCATGCATTCATTAATCAGAAACCTCATGAACAGGTTGTAAGTTTGGTTTATAGCCATATCACTTCTAAAATTAGGCACACCTTTCTCCTCTCAACTTAGTCTACTCAACAGCAAGTTGGTGAGCTTTCTGTATTTTTCTTACAAATAAAATGTTTTATTCCATTGGTGTTTTATTCTAAGGGTAGAAATAGTGTTTAAAATTAATTTTATTAAATTATAGGTTTTTAATGTAATATGCAGCCAGCATGCTTTTGAAAGAAATTTATTTCTTATTAGTAAGGAAATAAAATGCACAGTTTTTATTTAGATTTTAATATGATATGTGTGTTAGGTGTATCTGTATGTGTTTTCATAGTAAGGTTCTTTCATTTACTGGATTTGCTAACAGTTAATTCCTGAGATAACTGCAAAGAGTTGTTGAGATAATTTTCTTAAAATATTTTGTATTGCTTCAGCTGCCTTTCTAAGCACATACGGGTGAAGTCCTTGGAAGATTCATGTAAAACCCAAGGGAGTGTTGCTACTCATGTTAAATTATAATTTTATGAAGTAAACAAAATAAATATGACTATAATTGCTCTTGTTAATTGTTTTTGGGTGACATTTTAAAATGACAGATTTTAGAAAAATGTGTAATTTAATAACTTCATGTTTTTTATTTATTCATGTATTTATTTTTTGAAATGGAGCCTCACTCTGTTGCCTAGGCTGGAGTGCAGTGGCACAATCATGGTTGACTGCAGCCTTGACCTGCCTGGGCTCAGGTGATGCTCCCACCTCAACCTGCCCAGTAACTGGGACTAGAGGTTCATGCCACCATACCTGGCTAATTTTTGTATTTTTTAGTAGAGGTGGGGTTTTGCCGCGTTGCCCAGGGTGGTCTCGAACTCCTGGGCTCAAGCTCTCTGTCTGCCTCTACCTCCCAAAGTGTTGGGATTACAGGCATGGGCCACTGCACCCAGCCAACTTATGTTTCGTTGAACAGTCATTTGAGTATAAAATATAGGTTATTTATCAAAAAAGTGATATAAATGTTTTTATGTGCCACTTCCTTGAAAACTAGTTAGGATTGACAGCTTTGCTCTTTGTAAAATTCAAATCTAAATTAGTGTTCTATACTAAATGATTCTTTTCTTACATGGAAAATTTTTGCAGAAAGGTAAAAATAAAGTTTGCAAGAACTTTGACACTAGTAGATTAATACTTAGAATAGATATGGTAATCTTTTAGAAAGGTTATGTATAAATGTCCATCTGTTTTACTCTCTTTAAAAAAAGTCAGTCTAGGAAGGGAAGTTTTCAGCTATGTATGTATGTTTGTACATTGAGTGTGTATTTTTTTTTTTTTTTTTTTTTTTTTCCCCTTATTGTGCCACCTCCTGGAAGAATGAAGTTATGCATTCTTGTAATTCATGTGGCTTTTCATGTACCACTTCCTTGAACTCTAGTTAGGAGTGACGACTTACTGTCTTTGTAAGATTTTGATCTACATTATTGACCTAGTCTTTTTGTCAGGGCTGTTTTGAGCAAGCTTTACTGCTTCAAACATTCATATCACACAAAGTTGTTTTTAATGTGTTTTGACTTGGCTCACTTTGTTAGTGACGGAATCTACCCTTGATTTGACTTTGACTCATACTTTCTACTCACCTGTAATGATGAATATAAAATCAAATCAGGTTCGACTCATACTTTCTACTCAAATTCGTAATGATGAATATAAATCAAACTGTATGGCTGTATTGCATTATTCAAATTGAGTTAGGATTTTTCATACTTTCTACTCACCTGTAATGATGAATATAAAATCAAATCAGGTATGGCTGTGGTCAGTATTATTCAAATTGAGTTAGATTTATTTAATTTTGTCTGATTTCTTTGGTTAAAGTTTCAATCTGCTACCTATTAGCTAGTATCAGAAAGTATGTGTTAAGTAGCCTCTCTATAGGTGATTTAAAAGATTTAAATATTGATTTAAATGTTAGTTTTCTACCTAATCAGTCAATACAGACATAATAGAGTAGCAAAGGATATCTCTGTTTTTCCTTTTCAGCTTATGTTTAAAAATAGAACCCAGACTTTATGTTTTGTCATATATCTGTGATGTATATAATATATAAATACTTTCTTATTTCAAGAATTTTGTTAGTATCTTTGTTTCATTTTTTTAAGGTATACTTTCTACAGCATTGACAACTACTGTTTCTTCTCATCACTTATTTTCTCTTAAATTTTCAACTTTCATTTTGGTAAAACACTTGATTGCAGAACTCAGCTAGTTTTTAAACACATTAATGAGTATTAACTGTTAAAGAATTTGTCTCTTTTCATCCAGTTTTATGAATGAGACATGGAATCTTTGGGGATTGACAAAATGATCTGCCTTCCATTTACAAGGGTAAAAGTAGAAACTGTACATTGTCATCCATGTGAATCAGGTCTCCTGTTCATTGTGGGGTGATTTCAAGTTGTAAAAATCTTTGCTAGTTACTGAGTTGCTGTGATGTTAGACTGGAAATACCATTTTAATTCTTACCACATTTTGTCTGAGGTAGCAATTGATCCCTAATTTCCATTTTATTAACAAGGTACTCTAATGCTACTTTATTGTTCAAATTAACTAATGGGTTTTCCATTAAGAATGAGGGGGTTTATAGGCCATGTGTTTTTAGTCGGTGAAATTGTTTAACATCCTGTTATTAGTTTTCTGATTTATTTTAGAAGTTCTTTAAGTTAGTCTTAACACATAGCCATTCTTTCAGCATTAAGAGATGTTTATCTAGTGCCTTGGGAACTTTGGAGCATTTGAAGAATAAGGTCATTTTTATTTTTGAAGCACAGTAAACATGGGGAAGACAATTTAGGCTTCCTGAGTCTTGCTGTGTTCTTTTTTTTGTGAATAGTAAGCTGTGACTATTAATGGTTTCATAGACTTACAATTTGGAAAATTTGGTAATCAAGAAAGATTGTGAAACTTTAAGATCTTTAAGATCTTATCTTGTGGGTTGTGGCATTTGACATTGTCAGGTTAAGAATAGTCAGACTAACAGGATATCAAGGTACTATGAATGAACATTAAATTAATAATACTTTTCTGCCAAATTTATTCCTCATTTCAGCACTTCTTGAAATTTTAAAAAATCGTTCAGTAAGCTCAAGATTGTATATTTTGAAATATGACTTAACATGCTTATAAATCATGTATGATTGTCGTATCATTGTTACTATATATAGAATATAATTCTTCGGTAAGGATCACTCAATAATAATGAATGTGAAGCAGTATTTTCACAGTACCAAGAAACCTGCTAATATTTTCAGTAGTAATTGACTCATTGTTCAGTAACAATTGGTATGTATGGTGTATCTTATTTAATGTATTTGATTATTTATGAATATAGAAAGCATCATAGATACAGTATGCAGTGGTTTATTTTTAATTTTAAAATTTATTTGAATCCTTTTTATTGGTGGCTGCTACCATAGTTAGAAATTAAAGTTATTTTCATAGTATTCTTTTTGTGATTGAAGAATGAATTTTCTGAATAGATCTTCAAAGAGAAACTTCCTAGGTAAACTCACCTCAGGGTTGGGATTTAGTTTTAGTATATGTATGATTGAAGAAATAAAAGGTAAGAAAAGAGAGAAAAGTAAAGAAAAGTCCAGTGTAGCTTACTACTTATTTTTTTTCTCATTCTTCTAATTATTTGCTTTGTTCCTTTATTTAAAACTCTGGCTTTTCAGTATCTTTATTGTCATTTTTACACATATCCATTTTTTTCTTTGGTGTTATTTCTGTACCACTGAAAATTTGCCTTTCATTTTTTACACATTGTCAGTATTTGAAAATAGGGTTGCTGTTGGTTTAGACTCAGTGCTCATCTGCATGATCAGCCTGTGTCATTTCTTGCCTTAGGCCTTACCTCCTTTCAGTGTATTGACTTTCTAGGTTATATCTTTTCTCATTTAGAGGCCAATTATTCTTTTTTCTTTCTGTTGCTAGCAGTTTTATATCACCACCTGTTCTTTCCATTTCAGAAGTTCATTTTCTGATATAAAGCTAAATAGCTGTGCTGACATAAGTTCTTTTCATCTTCTACAGCAGGTTCAATGTTTTGCTCATAAAGAGAAACTATAGTTTCAACTTGGGTCATGATTAGAATTTTCAGTGAAGGTATCTGTCAGTATTTATGGCAGCTGGGTGCTTCTTGCCCTTCTTTAAGCAGTTCGGGGACCCCAAATCTGTCAACAGTTGTGAGTATGGAAGAGCCCTCATTATGGGTGAAAGGGGTGCTTACTTTAACTTCAAAGGAGGGTATAATTTCTCTTAAAAAGGGAAACATTGTACTTACCCGCCTACCTAGTGCATAGTACAGGTTGAGTGAGTGAACTAGGTTTTTGTTGATTGTAGTAGTGGTGGTTTTGTTTGTTTTATTGTTGTTTTTCTGCTTTTTGGTTGAATGTGTAAATGAAGGCCTGAGGTGATTGAATTATTTGCAAATTCAGTTAGTAAAATATTTTCAAAAAGAGGATGTTACAGAAATCTGAAGAAAGGCTGAAAATGGCAGTGAAGGTATTTGTTAGATAATAATTGGGAAGAATTTCCTGACAGAATAGGTTATTCAAACATTTTCTAAGGTTCCAAATATGTTTGTATAATCTCCTTCCATAGCAATCTTTGAAAGAAAGATTATTTCTTTCCTTGAAATATTTTAAAGGTGAGTCTTCCTGTAGCACATGGTCTAGTTTGTAGCATTCTGTAATCATGTCAGATTCAAAAAGTGAGATTAACTTGTATATTTATTTGCAGAAAGATAGCTCGTCATTCTCAATGAGAATATTTAAAATAGTGTAGGATGAAGGGATTGTTTAACCACTGTACCACTTGTAAACTATTGGAGACAGTATCTCACTCTTTCACCCAGGCTGGAGTACAGTGACACGATCACAGCTCACTGTAGCCTTGACTTCTGAGACTCAAGCAATCCTCCCATTTCAACCTCCCAAGTAACTGTGACTACCAGTACATGCCCTTGTACCCAGCTAGAATAATAATAGGAAATGGTTTATTCTCTCCTTTTTTTTTCTTTAATAGAAAGCTGTTAGTCTTTACTTGGAATTAATAATTTGCTGCTCAGTGTTTTTTTTTTTTTTTTTTGAGATGGGGTCTCACCCTGTCACCCAGACTGGAGTGCAGTGGTGTGATCTCAGCTCACTGCATCCTCTGCCTCCTGGGTTCATGTGATCCTCCTGCCTCAGCCTCACCAGTAGCTGGAATTATAGGTGTGTGCCACCATGCGTGGCTAATTTTTTGTATTTTTAGTAGAGATGGGATTTCACTATGTTGGCCAGGCTGGTCTCAAACTCCTGACCTCAAGTGATCTGCCCACCTCAGCCTCCCAAAGTGCTGGGATTACAGGTGTGAGCCACCATCCCCGGTCTGCTAGTCAATATTTTAATAGAAGTTTGGTAATTGTATTTCTTGTTTTAAAAAACATTAATTACTAGAAATGGATTGTGTCTGTAAATATACATATATACATAAATGTGTCACATTTTATAATTTCTTGTCAATAATTATCAAAATTCCAGGAATTATACGTAACGAAAAGAGCACAGTAAAAAAGCTGTTCATTAGGTTCTTTAGGGATTCTCATTTTTTAATTGAAAAAAGACATTTGTTTAATTGAAAGTCATTGACATTGATCATATTAATACAGAAAATGTTAAGACTGATTATAAATAATAATAATGTGTGCTTTTAAAACTAAATATTTGAAAATTAAAAGAAGAAAGATTGCTTGTGAATTTTTTGTTAGTTTTTCCTTTTTATTCCAAGGAATACATACATACAAATTAAATTATTACCATAAATGAAGAAATTGTCATTTATATAGCATTTGTATAATTTTGTTACTTACCTTTAGGCATTACCATCACATTAACTTGGGAAGATAGAAATATCTAGAGTAAATTTTCTCTTTTATGATATTTGTCTAGGTATGTGGGTTTTGTTTTTTTTTTTTTTTTTGATCCTATAGTTAAGAATGATGTTTAAAAAACACTTTTGTTTTTCTCTCAGCCTCTGGAATTGCTTTGGCACTCATTAGATGAATGGCTAGTTTTAATAGCCACAGAATTGATGAAAAACAAAAGAGACTCAACAGAGATCACTTCTATTTTACTGAAACAAAAAGGCCAAGATCAAGATGCTGCTTCCATTCCTCCATTTGAACCTCCAGGACCTGGGAGCTATGAAAATCTGTCCAGTGGCACAAGGGAATCTAAACCAGATGCTCTTGCAGGGAGACAGGAAGCCAGTGCAGATTGTCAGGATGTTATTTCTATGACAGCCAACCGGCTAAGTGCTGTCATTCAAGCTTTTTACATGTGCTGTTCTTGTCAGATGCCTCCAGGGTAAGAAAGTTTTGGCTTATTATTTTTTCTCTGATAGGTGATGAAAAGCAGTGGTATTTTTGTAATTTCAAAAACAACAAATAATAATTTGTTGATTTAAAGTTTTCTTTTGGTTTTAAGATACTCATACTAATCTAGATCTAGTAGGGAATATTTAAATTTTAAACAAGCAATATATATTATTTCTTTGTAAAGTGGTGAATGTCACCTTGTATAGGATCTCTTAATTATGTATTTGAAATGTGTAGAGCAGAAATGCACCAAATTTCAAGATTTTTAAAAAGTCACTTGTTGATATTGTCTGCTGATGAGAAATTAGAATCATTTTACAAATTGGCTAGGCATACTTCAGTTTCCTAAACTTACAAAGAAGATCCAACACCAAATTCTTTTTTTTTTTTTTTTTTGGTTTAGAAGCCAGTCCAGTTCAATATATATTTATCAAGAGTGCTATATTTTATCACAAACTTTTGCCTGTGTATTCTGATTGATATTTACCCCCCACAGAATGACTTCACCTCGTTTCATTGAATTTGTCTGCAAACATGATGAAGTTTTAAAATGCTTTGTTAATAGGTAAGTTTTCTGGGGTTTGTGGACTACCCTGGAGCCTTTCCTCTCTTTACTTACAGTTTCATCTGAACAGAAAAAATACTATTTCTCTTACCATTCAAAATATGTTCAATAACAAATGAAAGTTTAATAGATGTGAATTATTATATTTTTCTTCTGTTTCAGTATCAGTGTATCTGAATTTGCATTTCACTTAATTCTACTCATTCTTCCTGTCCATTTAAACAAAATATTTTTCTTTTAGAAATCCCAAAATTATATTTGACCACTTTCACTTTCTCCTTGAATGTCCTGAGTTGATGTCAAGATTCATGCATATCATAAAAGCACAGGTAGAAATTTTTCTTCATCTTTTTATTCTATCTAATGAAATTAATTTCTAAAATTCTAATATTGTTTAGTGGAATAATTATTACACTTCAGACATTCTATTGTAAGAGGAATGATTGCATGTTACTTTAATATGAGAAGTAAGTTTTCTTCAAGAAATACTTATAGAGTGCCTATTATTTGCAGAGGTCTGTACAAAAACAACAGAACACATTGCCACATTTCCTGAAAGGAGCTTAATGAAACTCTTTAGTCCTATAAGGCTGATTGTCCTTTTGAAAAGGATTTTAGCCCCAAATACACTTGGGAAATTACATAACATATGCCCTTTGGAAATTTATAAATCACATTGGCAGCATGTTAAAAGGCTTTGAGAAGCCCTTTAGTAAAAATAGTGATTTAACTTTGTTAATCCTCCAAACTTATTTTACCTGACCACCTTTCCCCTACCAGATGTGTATCTGTTCATTCCGTATATCTCATGTTACGTGAAGCTAGCTGGAGGAAAACTTGTTTTGCTCCTTACCAGCTATGTGAACTTTGGGCACATTTCCTAACATCCTTGAGCCCTTGGTTTCTTCATCTACAAAACAGAGATAATGACAGCAGCCTCATATAACTATTGCCAAGAATAAATTGTCAAGAATGACTGTGATATATGCTCAATAAATGGTCGTTGTTTTGGAGATAGAAAACTTACTTCCTTTCTCTAAGAGGATTCTAATTCAGTCTGGCTGGGGAGATAATAAACATACGTATAAAACAGTGACTACATTACCTGGATCTTTAGGAGTTTAAGGGAGGAAGAGCTGACTGTGGCATCTGTAGTCAAGGGAAATTTCAGGAGGCAGATTTTAAGTTACGTTGAGAAAGCTTGAAAAAATATGCAGCATTTTGATGGGAGTAAACAAGGAGGGAGAACTTTCTAGCCAGCGTGTGGGCTGGAGCAGGTAGACAGAAAAGTGTATAAAACTGCAGTATTGCAGCAGAAATTTTGTGTAGATAGGAGCACGATAGAGTTCTGGAAAGGTAGATTGGTGTCATCCAATGATGAGCCTTGATTTCCGGATCAAAGAATTTTCTTGGTTTGCTAGGCTGTTAGGAGCCACTGATACCCTTGCTTTAGGAGAATGGCATAATTCCGGCAAAGTTTTAGAAAATAATTTGCCAGATATGTAGGACAGACTGTAGGCAATGGTTTGGTTAGTAGTCGTGAGATAATAAATACGATAAGTGGTTTTTAATATCTTTAGGGACACTTGTCCTTTCAAAAGTTAACCTATGAACTAATTTTTATACAATTATGCACAAGTGTATAGAGGGATCTTTTGACATCTGTTTAATAATGATAATGTGAAAGAGAAGGCAGTAATAATAACTTACATTTAGTGAATGCTAATTTTAGGTCAGGTGCTGTGTATTTGCCTCCATGAATTATTTTGTTTTCTTAACCATTGCGTAAGATGGCTGCTCTTTTTTTCTAAGCTGAAGTGGTTAAGTAACTTGTTTAAGTCATTCTGCTACTAAATGGGAGAACCACAATTTAAAAGTCTGTCTCGTTCTCAAGTTCAATTTCTTTCTTTTCTTTTCTTTTTTTTTTTTTTTTTGACAACAGAGTTTCACCTGCCACTTAGGCTGGAGTGTAGTTGATCTCGGCTCACTGCAACCTCTCTGCCTCCCGGGCTGAAGTGATCCTCCCAGCTCAATCTTTCAAGTAGCTGGGACTACAGGTGCATACCAGCACACTGGCTAATTTTTGTATTTTTTTCTAGAGACAGGATTTTGCCATTCTGCCCAGGCTGGCCTTGAACTCCTGAGCTCAAGTGATCCACCTGCCTTAGCCTCCCAAAGTGTTGGGATTATGGGCATGAGCCACCACTCCTGGCCAAGTTGTTTCTTGACCTACACTATATGATACTGTTCTGGGGCAAATGAGATAACAGGTGAAAGAAGGTGAGATAACAGGTAAAATCTCACTATTTTTGAGAGAGAGGGTCTTCTGTTTTTAATACAGGTTGGTGCAAAAGTAATTGTGGTTTTGGGCAATTTTAATTACTTTTAATTGCCAAGTTAAAATTGTCAAATTAATTAAAATGGCAAAAACCGCAATTACTTTTGCACCAACTTAATACTGTCTCTGATTTTTACTTTCTATTCCTTCTTCCCTTCCTGGACAGTTTAGTCAGAAAGCATCTGTATTAGGTATCCACTCTGTTGACCCAGAGAGTGGGGTGTTTGTTCCCTGACTAGGGTGAGGAGGGTGTCTACATGTGTAGTGATGGCCTAGTGTGGGGTTTTGGAGTTTGGATGTGATTAAGAAGGTGTCCGTGTAGAAGAGGGTCCCAGTGTGAGTCATGTGGGTTAGAGTGGCATAAGGAGGATTTCCATATGGGGGTGGTTGCAGCTGATCAGTGCTGTCTGATGAAGCCGCAGTGGGGTGGAGGGGATCTATGCAGTGGAGGGACCATGCCAGCTATTGGAGATTGGTAACATACCAAGGGAGTGGGGTTGCAGGTTGATCAAATAAGCAAGTATGAGAGTCTAACTTCTCGTTGTTGGAGAAAGGAGTTACAAAATGGAGGAAACTAGAAGGAACCTTCTGCTGAATTAGAGTTACCAGTTTGAATTTAGTTTTAAATCTACATAGATACATGTAGCAAACCTGGCACCTAGCTCTTGGTCTCTCAGTGCCATTCTCAATGAACCAGGGCTCCTTGGAGAAATGGCTAATTCCAGGGCTAGATCAGGGAAAGTATAAAATAAGCCTGCAACATCTTATTATGTAAGAAAGTAAGGAAGTGTTCAAAGACTGATGGGGTTATGTTAACATGACTCAGAAGACAGCTTGAATGGACTCGCACTACCAAATTTGGAAGAATTTGAACATCAAAATAAAGAATGATGCAACATAAATAGGAACCTATGAGTCTGTACTGAAAAAATTAATGAATAAATGGAAAGTTTGATGAAGGGTAGGATGATTACACAGTCTCAAATTACCTCCTGACAGAATAATTACAAAGAGAAAAAGGATGCCTTACAGGAGAGAAGCTTGACAGTGATCAAAACAGACATAGCAGTGTGCCAGCTGATAGGATGCTCTGAGGACAACATGGCATCACTTCTGTGATATTCCTGCCAAGGATACACACCTTAAATCCAATCACGAGAAATCATCAGACTAAATACAGTTAAGGGACATTCTACAGAATTAACTGGCCTGTAATCTTTAAAACTATCAAGGTTATGAAAATTAAGAAAACATTGAAGAAATGTTCCAGAGTGAAAGAGACAGGACAGGACAATTAAAGGCAGTTCATGAATCTTGTTGCAATAAAAGGACATTACTGGAAAATTGGCAAGACTTGAAGTGGGGTCTGATCGTAGTAATGTTACCAGATGAGTTAATTTCTGGTTTTGATGGTTGTTATCTAGTTATAGAGGAAACTTCCCTTGTTTGTAGGAAATAAACACCTAAGTGTTTATAGGGGACTGGACATTATATTGGCAACTTTCTCTCACAGCAGAGGGAAAAAAAAGTACTTTGTACTCTACTATACTTAGAAGTTTTCTGTAACTTGGAGATTGTCCTCCTCTAGAAAGTTAAAAAAAGCAACTACCTCTGCTGAGGGATAGACTTCTTCTTCTGTTGGTGGTTTTCCGGTGGCCAGTACTTAAAGGGAGAAACATTTTGTCTTGCTGTACAAATGCTATTAAGAGGAGCCTCTATAATCAGTCCTGTTTTGTGAATTATTTATGGAAATACAGGTATTCTAGAAAGTTTACATACAAAAATGTGCCTTTTGGTTGTGTAGGTGTTTGTATATGTGTGTGTGTTTTGATCTTACAGATATTGTGTTAGTTTTTGAAGGTAGTAGTTTGTACCTTTTAATGTTACACTTGAATTACTGCAAAGGGTCCATTTGTTTTTATTTCTGGGTTCACATTTCATAGATAAAGGATATAGTTTAATATCTTATAGTGGGCAGTAAGTTTTCTTTTAAATAGTTATTGACAGTAATTTTAACACTGCTGTGAATGACAATAAGAACAATATCTATTTATTGAGCATTCCAGGTATTGAGTATTAGAGCATTAGTATAAATGCTTTTAGTCTATTTTTATCTTTGGTAAAATGGGGACAAAAGTCCCTTTTTCTCATAGTGTTGTGAGGGTTGTATGTGGTAATGCATTGTAAAGTGCTTCAAAAAGTACCTGGCTTATAGGTGCTTAATAAATGTTTGCTAATTTATTATTATAATTATGAGTATTATAATTATAATTATGTTCTTTATTTGAATTATTTAATTTAATCCTAACAGCTCTTGAAGTAGGTGTATTCTTTTCTGTGTTTTACAGATGAGAAAACTAAAGTTCTGTGAGGATTAATAATTTCCTGAAGATAAGTCTAGTAAATGACAGAGTGAGGGATTCTCAAACCATGTTTATCTGACTTCAAAGCCCATACTTAAATAATTGCTTCTGTGTAATGTTTTTTATTTCCTCTTAAACCAAACTTTTAGAAATAGTTAGCATTAGAATTTCAAGTGCTTTATATTTCAACTTGTTAACTGAAAATGAAATATTTAATTTATATGTATAGTGATGCATATAACATGTAACACCAGTGCTTTATTAAGAATGTGGAAGACTGTTAGACGTATGGACAGAATTACACATTTAACTTTTAAAAAGTAGCATTTATCCTTTTCTTACTGAAAGCAAATATTAAAAGGCAGAAGTTCATCTCTCATCAATCATACTGTGTTTTTATTAAGAATTAATAACAAGTGATATTTGAATCTTTTAAAAAAACCTATTTAATTTAGCTCAGATGAAGAAATTTATTGGTGTCCTAAAAGCCACCTGGAAGATAACTTTTTTGTGGTGTTGGATGGTATTCATCATATTTATCTCTTGAAACTCTTAGCTTTTGTGATGGTATTGCACCACCTTGGTTCTCCTTTGACTTTTTCCGCTGTCTGCATCATTTGCTAAGCAGATTCTCAGTCATGACTTGTGATCATAAACTTCTTTATTCTTGGTGTTTGTTCTCTGTGTCTTTCATCTCTTGAACCTTATACTGTCTCCAACTTCACCTTGGTTCATGGCTTTATTTTCAGTGTCTCAGCCGCATCACTGTCCAGTATCTCTTTCTAAATCCCTAATAGTTACACCCCACTATATCTTTAAACTCACGATACGTAAAATCTTTTTACGTATTTCCACCAGCACCTTCTAGGAGTGTGGGGGTAGGTTATGGGAAAGGGCTTTTCCGCTTTAAGTTATTTCTATTAATAAGTTCTATCTTGCAGAGATCTTACCTTACTTTTTTTTTGTTTGTTTGTTTTTGTAGAGATAAGGTCTCACTTTGTCACTCAGGCTGGAGTGACAAGGTGAGCACACTACAATTATAGCTCACTGCAGCCTTGAACTCCTGGGTTCAAGGATCCTCCCACCTCAGTCTTCTGAGTAGCCAGGACTGTAGGCGCATACCACCACGCTTGGCTAATTAAAACTTTTTTTTTTGGTAGAGACAGGGTCTCACTGTTGCCCAGGCTGGTCTCAGACTCCTGGGCTCAAGCGATCCTCCTGCCTCGGCCTCCCAAAGTGCTGGGATTACAGGCATGAGCCAGCATACCCAGCCTCTTCTCTTACTTTTAATGCTTATTCAAAGGAGTAGTATCTCTCAGATTGACTTCATTGTTCCTCTTTGCTACCACGACCAGGGCTTCTATAGCTCATGCTTCATTGTTTAGAACTTGATATTTTATTTATATATATATATAAATAAATATAATAAATATATATAAATATAATATATATATAAAATATTGTGTTACTCTATGTTAGTCTTATCTCTTTAACTGTATTAAACAGTTTTTAGCAAGTTCATGGAGTTTTTACTGCTCTTATGTTACATGCAGTGTTGGTACATACTATGTTCTGATTAATCAAAAATTATAGATCACTTACAGTTTGCTTACCTGGCAGATGAACAAAAAGGAGAGATTTTATTTGCTATTCAAGAGATCTTATTCTTCAATTTTTATTGTGGAGAATGGGAAGGGATAACAAATTCCATTCCAGTTTCTGCATATATTCTAAAGGATAGAAATAAGAATAAAGTTAGGAGTAAGAGACTGGGAGTGGTGGCTCATGCCTGTAATCCCAGCACTTTGGGAGGCTGAGATGGGTGGATCACCTGAGGTCAGGAGTTCGAAACCGGCCCGGCCAATATGGTGAAACCCCTTCTCTACTAAAAATACAAAAATTAGCCAGGCATGGTGGTGAGTGCCTGTAATCCCAGCTACTTGGGAGGCTTAGGTAGGAGAATCACTTGAACTCAGGAGGCAGAGGTTGCAGTGAGCAGAGATCATGCCACTGCACTCCAGCCTGGGCAACAGAGTGAGACTTTGTCTCAAAACAACAACAGCAGCAGCAATAAACCAAAATAAATAAGATTAGGTGTAAGAGATTATTTTCATGAAAAATTAAACGGAACATGCAACATAATTTTTCTGGGTGTGAAAATTCCTTGTAATAAGGCTTGGATTTAAAAGAAATTGAGAATAAACATGTTCAATTACATATCTGATATTAAGTTCTGCGACATAACCAAATTTATCAAGTCTTTTGTGTTGAAAACGTAGGAATTAAAAAAAATACATTTCTCTAGGTAGCCAAGCTATTTCAGCTAAGTTCTGCCTTTTTGTGAATAGTTACTGAAATGTTAAAACACATTATTCAGTAACTCCTTATTATAAATAAAGATCTAAGGGTGATTATTTGTAGAAAAGGCATCGAACATACTAGTAAATCTGATAATTAGATAACTGATATGCTGCTAACATATTTTACTCTTATTTTTTGAGCTAGCCTTTTAAAGATCGCTGTGAATGGTTCTATGAACATCTGCATTCAGGACAGCCAGATTCAGACATGGTGCATAGGCCAGTGAATGAACACGATATCCTGCTGGTTCACAGAGGTATGCTTAACAAAGAAGCTGATATCTGTGTCAACCACAAAGTGCTTGTTATTGTGAGTTTTAATATGTAAAATTAACCAATGCTACATATTTAGATTCTATTTTTAGGAGTAGCTGTGAAGTTGTGTCAAAAGCAAATTGTGCAAAGCTAAAGCAAGGGATTGCTGTACGGTTCCATGGAGAAGAAGGCATGGTGAGTATAAAAGATGATGATGTAGAAATCACTGTATAGAAAGAAGATTGAAATGCCTTTTGAATAAAGTTTAATGTTTAGTTGATAAAGGAAGAAACTTTATATTTAAATTTTATTTAGAAAAAAATTTCCCAATATAACATATTTCTGTTGATGCTTAATTTTATTTCTTGAATTCAGGGTCAAGGTGTTGTGCGTGAATGGTTTGATATTCTGTCCAATGAGATAGTCAATCCTGATTATGCATTGTTTACCCAGTCAGCTGATGGTAAGTTGTACGGTCTAGATGACTTTTTCTGCAACTTGTCACATTTTTCACACTATTTCAGTACATTTTATTTTTGATTTCCACAGCAGACCTGTGAGCTAGTGGAAATAAGCTATCTTATTTTATAGATGAGAAAACTGAAATTCAGAGTTTTTATCTGCATTCACACAGTTAATAAGTAGTAGAATCATAAGTGGAACCTGACTCAGTCTAACATTTTTTCCTCTTAACAGTTGGTTCCCAGATGCTTATCTCAAGGACTAGTGTTGGCCCCAAGGAGGTTTCTTATCAGTCCTTTATAAAATAAAACTAAATTTGTGGCCGGGCGCGGTGGCTCAAGCCTGTAATCCCAGCACTTTGGGAGGCCGAGACGGGCGGATCACGAGGTCAGGAGATCGAGACCATCCTGGCTAACACGGTGAAACCCCATCTCTACTAAAAAATACAAAAAAAAAACTAGCTGGGCGAGGTGGCGGGCGCCTGTAGTCCCAGCTACTCGGGAGGCTGAGGCAGGAGAATGGCGTAAACCCGGGAGGTGGAGCTTGCAGTGAGCTGAGATCCGGCCACTGCACTTCAGCCTGGGCGACAGAGCGAGACTCCCTCTCAAAAAAAAAAAAAGTAAAATAAAATAAAACTAAATTTGTTCAATTTAAGGATTATCCTTTAGTCTACTTTTTTTGAGTTATATTTTTCATTCAATTAAAATTAATGGTGCTTGTAGATGGCCTTAAACAAATACAAGTCCCTATTTGGAAAAATAAAAATTTGCTGACTCTATTTGAGTTTCCAAGTTTTAAAACATATTGGTTAGGAAAACCAAAGTCTAGAAATCATGATATAAAATTTCAACTCTTAATCTATTTATATATACTAACTTTATTTTCAGTCATTTTAAGAGATCAAGACCTGGCTACTATAAAGCTCTTATTTAACCATATAAAACAGATAATTAACCCTCCTTGTTGAAATGGTGCTTGTGACCTATAGAGTTGTAATTTGCTGTTGTAGACTAAATGGAAATAGTTATCATCTCATTCGTGTGAGGCATATTTGAGAGCTCTCTAACTTAATAAAGACATATTCCAAATGAAGGTGGGATTTCAGTTTTCAAATGCTTTGCACAGTCGCTCGTTTTTCCTGAAAATCTTTTCTTTCCCCAAATGTTTATATTCTTTTATCAGGAGAGAATACTTCATTAATGGTAGCTTCTGATTGCTTCCCACCAAACTAGCAGCAAATCCCTATTTGATAAGAAGGATGATTTTAAGGGAGGCATGTGGGAGCGGGCTGCAACAGAGCTAGGCTGCTGCAGGCATTCATCCCTGTGATGAGCTTCTTGGATACACTTTGAGTATTTGCAATTGCATAGGAACATGGAACTGCCCACTTTCACTTGGTAACCTTTGATTCTTTGCTCTGAGGTGAATTTGGTGTCTTTGTGAATGACAAGTTGAATGAACCCCTGAGTTTAATTATTTAGGCCTAATCTTTGAAGCTAGATCTAGCATTATATTTTAGACTGACTACTTCTCTTTATATCCTTTATTCTAAGTCTACTTAGCTTAATATCTGAAAAACAGATTTGGTGTGGAATCATTAGTTGAGGTACTTCCTTAATGTTATAGATTTGTAGCAGAGCAAATGTTGAAGTACATAGACCCATAAAGGGTTTTTTTTTTTTTTTTTTTCCCCTTTGAGACAGAATCTCACTCTGTAACCCAGACTGGAGGGCAGTGGCGCGATCTTGGATCACTGCAGCCTTGACCTCCTGGGCTCAAGGAACTGTCCCACCTCAGCCTCCCGAGTAGCTGGTATAGCTAAGGTGGGAGGATCACCTGAGTTGGGAGACGAGCCATGGTGCCTGGCTAGTTTTTGTATTTTGTAATTTCTCTATTCTTTTTGTGGAGACGAGGTTTCACGATGCTGCCCAGACTGGCCTCAAACTCCTGAGCTCATGCTGTCTACCCGCCTCGGCCTCCCAAAGTGCTGGGATTACAGGTGTAAGCCACTACGTCTGGCCAAACATTTTGATTTATGTTTTTTGTAAGCCATATCGGTCTCCTCTTTGGGGTCATAGTATTAATAAATTAAAATCAAGCTGAAATATTTTCACGCTCTGAGGTTTAGTTGACAAAGATAATTACATATAGGAATCAAGAATTTCTAAATGTGGCAAATGTCTGGGTAGACCTGATATCCATAATAATTTTTTTTAAAAACTTGTTTTCTAATGAAATTAAGATGCTTACAGTAGTGAAATAGTATAGTTGTTATGAATTTGTCCTTTGGGTTTATACACGGTGAGAATCTTGACTGCTGTTCTTTTGATATGATCTTGGGGCCAGTAAACTTAATTTTCTGCACTTTCGTGTCCTCATTTAAAAATGGTGATACCTGGCTGGGCACAGTGGCTCATGCCTGTAATCCGAGCACTTTGAGAGGCCGAGGTGGGCAGATGACAAGGTCAAGAGATTGAGACCATCCTGGTCAACATGGTAAAACCCCGTCTCTAACTAAAAATACAAAAATTAACTATGCATAGTGGCATGTGCTTGTAGTCCCAGCTACTTGGTAGGGTGAGGCAGGAGAATCGCTTGAACCCAGGAGGCGGAGGTTGTAGTGAGCCAAGGTTGCGCCACTGCATTCCAGCCTGGTGACATGGCGAGACTCCATCTCAGAAAAAAAAAAAAAAAAAAAGATGATAACCTATGTTTTGTAATGTGGTAAGAATTCAGTTAGCTAATATGTGAAAATGCTTAGTCGGTGCCTGGCATATAGAAAGTATAAATATTATATGCTATATTATCATTACATGAAAATGATATTATTGTATAGTAGGATTTTTCTGAGAGCATGAAAATAGTTGGGGGAGTAACAGCTGTATATTTATTTTTTGAACTTAAAATTTATCATAAACTTTTAATTCTATTTAGAATTTTCAGGTTAAAAACTGTTACTCCTTTTCTGAAGATTTTCTCCCTATGTTTCCTTTTTTTTTTTAAAAAAAAGTCTCCTTATCCTTTTTAAGTATCTAGATTTCTCAGAAAGTAATTAGAGAGGGAATTAAACACAGACCTAGGGGAGGAAAATAGAATCATCAGAAATCTTTGTAGCCCTAATCATTCATTATTTTAACAGGTGAAAAATATTTGTGATTATTCTCAGAATATTATATTTTTGGGATTATGATTACATTTGTCTTTGAAGTCTGCCTTTATCTCACAAAGCTTTGCTTTGGCTTTTAATATCAGGTCTTGCTTCATGACAGGGAATTATTCTCCAAAGGTCCTTAACAGTGAATGATGAGACTCACATGACTTATTAATACCATAGGCTTCCAAATTTGTACCTTAATATCTAAATAAACTAGTCAGCAGTTTAACCTGGTGTCAGCACTGAGAAATCAAAGATCAATGAAACACAGAGTGAATTATTGTCAAAATGACTAAACATTTCACTTTCCAATACTTTTCTACCTTTTATTTTTCTTTGATGCTATTTCATTAGGTTTATCAGTTACTTCTTTTAGCCCAGGCATTTACAATAGTAGTATGTAGCATGAGCTCATTATGTCTTTGTTGAGTGAATGAGTGAATTTGTAATATGAATTAGTGGCCATCACAGAAAAATAGGAAAAATAGGAAAAGAAAGTTACTTAAAGTTGAGATTTTGGCATTAGGTTTTAACTTTTAACCAGTAGTATTTTGTTTTTGAGACTTTTTTTTTATGGTGGTGAAATACACATAAAATTTACCATTTATATTATTTGAAAGTGTACAATTCAGTGGCATTTAAGTACATTCAGTGTTGTGCAACCATCGGGCACTATCTGTTTTCAGAGCTTTTTCATCACCCCAAGCAGAAATTCTGTACCCATCAAGCAGTGTCTCCCATATCCCCTTTCCTCAGCCTGAGGTAACTACTAATCTACTTTACCTATCTATAAATTTGTCTATTCTAGATATTTTATAAAAGTGGATTCATATTTCATTGCACTGGATTTTCATTGTGATTGGTAACTATTGCCCTTGCCATGTTTACTTTCACCTCAGAGGTAATTGTTAGAAAGACTTGGTTACCTTGTGGACTGAGGTGATTTTCTAATCATTGTTAACAGGCATCAAGTTTGTTGACTAGGCCTGTCACTTAACAGTTGTACATTTCCAATTTTTAGTTATTCTCATAGTGTTCTACTCCTGAAGAAGCAAAAAGTACTTACTGCACTGGCACATACAGATGAATGGGATAATGTCTGTCCTAGCGAACAGCCTATTGCCATACTGCCTAGGAAACTGTGTATATGTGCTTGTGTGTGTGTGTGTGTGTGCGCGTGCGTGCGTGCGCAATCCTCTGCTGTATTATTTCCGGAGTGTCTCTGATGATCATCCAACTAATTTTAGTCAAAAGTACTCTAAAATTTTCTCTCTGCTGTAGATTACTGTGATAAATATGTGTGAATTGTCTATACTTACAGTTCTACTTACCACCTGTTATATATTCCACAAAGAACATTTTTCTGGAAGTTTGTACACAATGTCACCTTAGCTTTGCTGAAGTTGTATGTGAATTAGTTTATCTGCATTGAAGTGATCTTTCTTCTGCATATAGATTCTTAATAATATATTATTTTGTATTTATTTCAATAGGAACAACTTTTCAGCCTAATAGCAACTCTTACGTAAATCCTGATCACTTGAACTATTTTCGGTTTGCTGGGCAGATCTTGGGATTAGCATTGAACCATAGGCAGCTGGTCAATATTTACTTCACACGATCCTTCTACAAGCACATTCTTGGTATGGCTCTATTATTATTTCTGTAGACATTTATTTATATTGTTTTCCTCTCAGTTTGAGGAAAACTAGATAAGCAGTAGCATTTTGGATGAGATAATTTTTATTTTGATTGGAGACCATCTATATATGTAAGGCATTTGAGGTTTGAAGGAGGAAAAAATGACCTACCTTTTTTTTTCCAAACACTGTCAGCTAAGTTAGTTTTTTTTCAATTTTAGTGTGTGTATGTTTATGCTAAGAATACATTTCAATATGAATATACTTAAGATAATTGGCACTTTTGAAGTTTATAATAACTTCCTGAATAGCTATTTCAAGGAAAGATTACATTGTAACAATGTGAAAGAAACACAGGCTTAATTTAACAGACTTTCAAATTCAGGAATCCATTTAAAATATGCTGTGAACAGGATTATATTATATTTTGCAGTTTTGCAGAATATCTGTAGAGGGCAGTATTTTACCATTAAATAGATAAGGGAAGGCAGAAACAGACTATAACTGTTGTATGTTTGCATTTTTTAGGTATTCCTGTAAATTACCAAGATGTGGCATCCATTGATCCAGAATATGCCAAAAATTTGCAATGGATTTTAGATAATGATATAAGTGATCTGGGTCTAGAACTAACTTTTTCTGTTGAGACTGATGTGTTTGGAGCAATGGAAGAGGTGCCTTTGAAACCTGGGGGTGGGAGTATTCTTGTGACACAGAATAACAAAGTGAGTATTTCAGTTTTTACCTTAACCATTGTTTGTAACTTGGCTCTGATAGTTTGCTAGTTACTCTAAATTCTTCTGGCACTTGTAGAAAAACTACAGTATCGTAACAGATAAAACATTTAAGTTAATAAAACCATCAAATGTTAGACTTTGAATTAGAAAGGATTATTTTGATAATTGTGCTAGCTGTGCTGAGGTGGTTCCTAAAAAAGTCTAGAGCACTTCAGCTGATAGTATAAATTGGGCATATGCATTTTGAGAAATTTGATTAGAAATGTAAGCTTAAATGAAGATAATATTTACAAAAATTGCTCTTTCATGTTTTTAAAGTGTGATATTAAATAATTCTAATAGAGAAAAGAAATGCCAGTGTTTAAGCTTTCCACATACTTTTGGGATCCAGTAAGTTTGTTCGACCTTTTGATATTTTTTTGACTTTATAACTTGATTATTTATTTATTGAGACGAAGTCTCACTTTGTTGCCCAGGCTGGAGTGCAGTGGTGTGATCTCGGCTCACTGCAACCTCTGCCTCCTGGGTTCAAGCGATTCTCCTGCCTTGGCCTCCTCAGTAGCTGGGATTACGGGGGTGCACCACCAAGCCCAGATAATTTTTGTGTTTTTAGTAGAGACGGGGTTTCACCATGTTGGCCAGGCTGGTCTCAAACTCCTGACCCCAGGTGATCTGTCCGCCTCAGCCTCCCAAGGCGCTGGGATTACAGGTATGAGCCACCACGCCTGGCCTTATTTTTATTTATTATTACATCTCCTCTATACGTTTTATTTAAAAATCTTTGCTAGTGTTTTAAATTTCACTGTTCAAAGTCATAATATGACTTTAAGATCTAATGCAGTTTGATGTTTTAATATGTTATATGGGATATTTGGAGTTAGAAAATATCATATAAATTCTAGCTCCGTTGCTTACAAGTAGCAACTTCTGGTTAAACAATGCTGAACTCCCCCATCCCCTTTTTTAAGCTGAATTATAATTCCAAGACATCTTCAGAATCAATTAGCTATAAGAAACAATGTTCACTGAGCCATTTTTAAAACTATAGATTTAGTAAAATGTGGATTATTTTAAAAAGGGTTATGTTTAACGATTCTTCAAACTCAGTTTTCTGTAGAATTGGGATAATAGTACCTCTCATACAGAATTGTTATTAGCATTTTGTAAAATGAAAAACACAGCACAAAAATTAGTTGTATTGGGTAGTTTTCTATAAAAATAGGTTCTTAGTTTCAGATATATAAAGGGAATTAGAAACTTATTAGCAAGCTACATAATTTTACCTTTTGAAACTTAAGATATTATAGTATACAAAAAAAATGAGATTGAATTCTTGGAAATAAAGTCAGGAGCTGAGTTCTTTCACATTCATGCTTAGAAATTTTAAATTCTACCCTCTCATTTTACACGAAATGACACTAAGCCTAAAGAATTAGTGGCAAAACGGGCCAAAACCCAAGTCTCCTAATTTCAAGTCTAATGTTCTTCATACTGTATGCAAAATTAGTTGTGTTGAGGAAGAACTTACTTGATTTTTAATGTAAGTCATGTTAAGCTGTAGAAGATTACAATAGTAAAACACTTAAATTTTTAAACCTATATGATTTGCCAGTGAATGAAAATATTTTTAGAATCTTTTTTTAGATTCTAAACACCTTGTAGCATGTTTATTTTTTTATTTTACACTGGAGACCTACCCTCTGTTAAGGATAATGAAGTCACAGAACCTTTATTAAGCAAATGATTGTCTTTGATAAGAGAACCGTAAACATGATTCTTATCTGTGAATACTATATCTTGGTGAGATTTGTCACTCCTTTCAGTTATTTTTTTATATGACAAAGTGGAAAGATCCAGTAACAATGATATTCCAGTGCTTTGGGAGGCAGGGGGATTGCTTGAGGCCAGGAGTTCCAGACAAGCCTGGGCAACATAGTGAGACCTCGTCTCTACAAAAAATAAAAAAAATTAGCCAGGCCTAGTTTTATGTGACTACAGTCCTAACTATTCTGGAGGCAGAGGTGGGAGGATCACTTGAGCCCTGGAGCTCGAGGCTACAATGAGCCAAGATGACACCACTGCCCTCCAGCCTGAGTGACAGAGCAAGATCCTGTCTCTTAAAAAAGAAAAAAAGTGTTTGTATGAGGTGTATCTATATTTATGCTTGCATCTCCTAGCAGCACCCCCTCTTACTATGACATTATTTTTGTTTAGATTTTTAAAATATTGTTAATTTTTTTATATTTGTGTATTTTAATGAAATCTAGAAAGAAGGAAAATATTGACTAAATAAGAATAAGAATATGCTCACATTGAGGATATCCCCTTCATTGTGCATCTCACCAGAGGCGGGAATACTATTTTAATATTAAAGAGCTTGAAACTTTAGTTTCTCAGTTTAATACTTTATATATTTACATTTTGTTTAATTGCTTGTTGATTAGAGGCTAACTTTTTAAAATAATTAGGAGTGTTAATAGCAGGGTCTTGATTATTAATGTTATATATTCTGAGCTTTCATTTTTTGATATAAACATTTCTCACAATAAATTGAGCCTCTTTTTTCTAATGTTACCAGTATAGTAATTGTGTATCAAATTATTGAGGTTTCAACATATAGTGCTTATTTAATAAGCAACCTGATTCATATAAAACTCTTAAAAATCTTTAGAAACACATCACATTTTACCTTGCTTAAAATTGTTAAGATATTCGGTTTACAAAATGTTACTTTGAAATTTTCAAACCCTGTTTCTTAGAAATACTATTGATTTTTGGTTCTTTTTTTTTTTTTTTTTTTTTTTTGCTTATACATTCTGTTACGAACTTTTCTGTTACTTTAGAGTCAGCTTTTTACTTTATAGGTAGAAAGTTTTTTCGTCATGTTTAGAGTTCAACTTTCGTAGTTTTGAACTATTGAACCTTAAATGACTTGCTAAACTTGTTAGAGGCCCTGTGTAAACTGATCTCCACGTGGGGGAGGCACTTATTCCCAAGTTTTGTTAAAAGACTTTGGTGATTATAAAGTGAAACTAAATAAATGAAAATACCTTTAATTTAAAAAGCAATATGTTAAATAAATACAAGTAATATAGGCAGATGTATATATATATTAGTTCCACATTTGAAATATCATCTCTTAGTTAGAATATGGCCTCTTTTGCTCATATTTTGAATTCTAGTGTTTAAAATTGAAGCTATAGGGGTTTAAATGTTAGCATCACTTTTATAATATTAGTCATAAAGTTCATCCAGGCTGGGAGGAAAAAAAAGAAGATAGGAGTAAGAAGGGGCAGGATATCAGGGAATGGATGAAGTGGTATGGAAGTTGAATTACAGAGGTGAAACATTAAGTGGTCAAGTAGGAGTAAGGATGGGAAAAAGAAAATGTTCTGGGCTTACAGGAAGGCACAGAGGTGACAGAGCATGCTGTGTTTGGGAAACCACAAGTAGATCAGAGTTGTGGAGCTTAGCTTAGATTGCAAAGTAAGCAAGTAGAAAAAGATGATGTGGGGAAGGGAGAAATTGACCAAATTCTGAAAGACTTTGCATCCACAAGTAGTACTTTGAAAATTATCCTGAAGTCTGTGGAGATGATTGCAGATGTTAAAGAGGGAAGTGACATGATCAAATTTCAGTTAAAAAAAAAAAAAAAAGAAAGAAACAACCAAACTCAGCTTTGAGTGTGAAGAATGGGTTGAAATGGGGTGGTTGGTGCTGGAGTCAGGACAACTGAGAGGAGGCTGTGGCATTTTGGTTTGGGGAAGCATGCATGAGGAATTATGTAAGGCAAGTGGCAGTGAAGATGGAGAAAATGGGATAGCTTTTAAGCTTTTGAGAATAATAGAATTTATAGAACTTGGTAATCGGGAAGATGAGAAAGAGGAAGGACTCAAGGATAACTGTCACTGTTGTGGATTGGGCCACCTAATGTCTGATACTGTTGTCATCCTACTCTTCATCAACCTCATTATCACTAGTTCTGTTTTTTAGTGATAATAATTACTACTTATTGAGTACTTTGTGTGTTTCATATATCTGAACCATGTTCTTTGTGTTTCTCATTTCCTGTAACAGCCTCTTGAGATAGCTATTTCTCTTTAGTGTGGAAACAGCCTTAATATTAAAACATTTGACATTTATTAGGTTTTTATAATGTGCTAGGCACTGTTTGATGTGCCTTATGGGTATTATACTTAACTCTGTGAGGTGGAGATACTCCTTTCTACAGGTGAGGAAACAGAAGCATATAGGAGCTAAGTAGCTTTTTCCATGCAGTCTGTAAATTTCAAGCCTGCTTGTGCAGGGGCCATCCTAGTCTTCTCTGTATAGTTCCAATATTAGCATATGTGCTGCTGAGACAAGCACTCAAGCCTGCTTGTAATACAACACTGCATTTCTTTAGAAATTAAATAACTGCCCAAGGGCATAAAACTTGTAACTGATGTTTTCTTATTTTAAATGGATGTCTGTAAGACAGTGTAACTGCTAGGCTTCTCATTTACTAAGGCAGTGAATATGAGCAAAGTAACAAATACAAATTTAGTATGTTTTGTCGATTTCATTTTAATATGGTTTTATTGCTAGTCTTATATGATTAAATTTTTAATGCTAGCTTTGCATGATTTATTTAACATACACATTTAATGCACATACAAGCACAAAATACAGACTTTTATCCATAGATTATTGACTTAAAGTGGATTCTTTATATGCATCTTTAGAAAAGTATACAGGTTGAGCATCCATAATTCAGAGTACCCCAGAGTCTGAAACTTCTTGAGTACTGACATGAAGCCATAAGTGGTAAATCCTATACTTGATCTCATATGACCAGGGGCACTCAGAACACAAGCATACAACATACAGTTGTTTCAGCATCCCCAAAGGGAAAAAGACCCTCCCGGCCCCATTCTGCTGCATATATATTTTTCCTTCAACACACCAAGATTCCCTCATGCAAGCATGCCCACAAGGGTAATAAAATC